GCCCACCTCTGACTGTATTCAGGCGTTCGTCGGAAGAACAGCGTTGATGAATCGTACAGTCGACTGAGATCACTGCTAAGGACAAGTTGCCAACCATTGATCGCCAAAGTTTCCAGCAACGCACAAAGCATAAGCTTTGTCGCTACTGCGGTTTCTTTGGACGAATTAGGAATGAAAGGAAAACCATCAAACTTTAGCTGTACAGCCTTACCGCTTTTGCTGCTGGTAATCCCTTGGATGTTGACTGTAATAAATTAATGGACTTCTTATTAGCATCAACGTTTAGGCTAATTATCCAAATTACTCCAGTCTTAGTTTTACTTGAAACAACAATAATAAGTTTTTTTGAAGGCAAGAATCTTAATTAAACAACTGAAATGTAGTTTTAGCTACTAACAAGTTTAATGACACAACTCGATTATAGTAATAAATTGAAAAAGTACGTTTCTTCTTTTTCCTTCACCATAGCCTTCATTAACTAAACTTTTTGTTGAAATAATGCAAATATTTGAAGAGAAATTTAGAAGACAATAACGATTTCAGTAGACAAAATTTTATAGCAATAAATGAAATGTCAAAAAAAAGGATCAGACGAATGAAACAAAGTATAGAGCAACTAACTAGAATAGTTTTCACTTATTGTTGTAGATATCAGCTCAACAATATCATCTGGTGCATCAATCAGTTTAATTGTGTCCCAACAAAATGTGAAACTGAAGTACGAAAAATTTTCTGGTCTTTCTGGAAATGTCGAGACCTGATTTCCCATTCACACAATAGACTGAATAGCTGAAAGTTATAAGATCTGGTAAATACAAAAAAAAGGGATAAAATACAAACAAGCAAGCAAACAGATAAACAGCAATTTTGTTTTTGGCACACAGTAGTACACCGTTCAAATTTTTTTCTTCCTCCTCCCCTCTTTTCACGTTCCTTCTATCATCTCTTGTAAAAATTTGTACAGTCCTTCTAATCGACAGCAGTCAACTAAAGCAAACAAAGAAAATAAAACAAAAACAATGTATCAATAGCTGAGGGTGATAAATCGCCATCATAGTTGGTACTGTCAGTAACGGTTAAACGAGGACAAGAAGGAAAGAGAAGAAAGAAGAGATAGAGAGGACTTAAAGAAGTTAAGAAATAAGTAGCAGCATAATTTCATATTAATTCAGTTCTCCAATACTAGTGATATATTTTAAAGTAAATAAATAAACAAAAAATTAAAAATAAACATTAAAAGAATGAAAAAGAACAAAAGGTTGAAGAGAAGTAAGTACAACGAGGAAAAAAAGAAATGTTAGTTATGAAGAAAAATCAGTATTATTATTGTATTTTTCTCTCTTTTTTTGTATTATCTAAAAAAAGCAAATTTTTTTGTTGGTGAACCAAGAGAAGTTGGTTCGATGCGTTAGTTGCGGCGCGAAACGGCAAAAACCTGTAACGCAGTAGCAGTAGAAGCTGTAGCAGCAACAATTGTAGAAAAGAAAGAAAAACTCAAGCAGAACGAAGAACTTTGATGAAACTCTGCCTGTATCATACCCGATGAGATATAACCACTAAACAAATGTGGTCCATTAACTAAAAATAAAAGAGAAAATTTTTTTTTCATCTTGAAAAAATTCATTCCTTTTTTCTTTTAGTCTATCTCCCTTCCATTTCCTTACCCTCCTTTCCCATTCTTTTTCGCTTGCACCTTTCAACATCTTCCTTTTTCCTTCCTTCAATTGAAACTATGCAAAATAAAAGTGTAAATGTAGCAAGAATTAAAAGAAAATTTAGTATCTGCAACAAGCAAAAACCAGTGGAATAGAAAAAATCAATTTTATTAGCAGATAAATGATGATTGGTAAAGCGAACTGTGTGCTCGAAATAAACAGATATAAAAATAGATTAATTTCAGCATCACAGTAAAAAAATAATTGCTTAAACAAATACATATGTTTCTAAAGGTAATAAAATTAAAAAAAAATTGCTCAAGAAATATATTAAAAAAAATTTTTTTTTCGCTCATTATTGATTAAGCCAGTCAAATTTAAAGTAAAAATTATTAGGTAGACTTAAGGGTAAAAAAACAAGTGAGAAAGCAAATACCTTTTTTTTTTTTTTTTTT